CGGCGACGGCGTAGCGTACACAAGCGAAATCACTTGCGGTATCATAACGTTCCGTCCAAAAAAATTCTTTTCCAATTCTTTCCTTGATCTCCGTGCCTCGATTTTCGTCATTAATCACGCACGAGTTTTCATGATAATCATTTACCGTGAATCGGCTGATTGGTGCGATCGCTCGTCTTAATCTAAATCGATACTTACATATCTTACTCGTTCAATTATTGAAACTTTTTAATCGAGATTGTGCCATATCTTTTTTGCAATTGCTATTAAGTCGATTTCTGTTCTTTGATTTATAAAAAAGAAAAGAAAGAAATAAAAAAAAAAGAAAGCATTTGAAGTTGTCGAAAGACAAGTAGGAGAAGAAAGGGGTAAAAAGCGGAAAACCTCTAGGGTGAATTTGACTTCGCGCGACACACGATATGTTTGATACGGAAAAATTTATCGAGGAAATTGAGAAACGACCGGCAATTTATGATGTAAATCGTAGTGAGTACAACGACCGTAATGCCAAGATGACCGCGTGGGACGAGGTTTGCCAGGTGATGGTACCGAATTGGGCACTCTTGACGGACGAGGAGAGATACGCAGAAGGTACACAGCCTCTTGCGATCGATCGATCCGGATTCCTCGACTCGCATTTATTCGACCCTAGCACGAGTTATATCCTCCTACAATCATTTAGAATTAGATGATACAAATTTTTTTTCCTCCGTTCATCGGTTAAAGAAATAATAATTGTAGTGAAATAATAATCCAAAGTAAAAAGAACAAAAAGATTAAAATATCTTGCTTTTTTATTATGATTGATTGTTTTTTAAGATTTTCTTTAAGATTGAGGATTATTAGAGATCAATTCTATTTCCCATATTTATATTATTAAACTTTTCTATCGCGTACAACAATTTTTCATAATTTTCAGAAAAAAATTTACGAGGAAAATGGAGAAATATCCGTGATTATTTTATGAAAGAATTGAAACTTCAGAAATCCCAAAAATTAGGGCCAGCTGGTCGAAAACGAAAGAAATATATGTATTTTGATCAGTTATTGTTTTTGATGCCAACGGTGGAAAACAAACGGTCAGTATCATTCAATTGTCCAAGCGTTCATATTTAAAGGATGCATCATTTATAGTTATATTCCTATACATTACAGAAATGCTGGCACTACGTTAAATAATTGCAAATCCGAAGAAAGCGAGGGCGAAGTTGACAATCCGGTGATCGAGGAATACGATGTACCATTGGCCCATGCTGCTCCCTCCATTGCGACAGGCAGGGAATATCTTCAACCTGGCGCGTCCTATAAAATGTGCCCCCGTTATCCGAAGCAGCTTTGCGAAACGTCGTTCACGTCCTTCGATAATGAAATTCACGATATCCTGTCGTCGCACAGCAGCCAACGCGTTCCGTATGACGAGGACGACTACGACAAAATGTTTCTGCTCTCCTTATTACCGATCATCCGACAAGTACCGGAAGAGAAGAAACTCGACGTCCGGATACAGATGCAACAAGTTTTGGCCCTGGCGATACGTCCTCCGGATGATATGCAATGATAATTCTGATGCTCTGACGATCAATAATTTGCAAATCAAAACGCTATAGATCGGGACACGTGAGTATGCTAGTCCATACAAGAAAATGATTTCTTTATTATCGTTCTCATTAATTATGTTATGGAAATAGACAATGATTTCATCGATTCAATGTACACACAACATATTTTTGAACTTTCGAATAAGAGTTATATTCATATTTAGACTGCACTTCGATTGAGTTCGTTCTGATAATATCTGATAACATCGTAGATCGTAGATTATTTGTGTCGTAAATATAGCGAAATGATAATATTTGAGAATGTTTCGAATATAAGTAAGCTTTTGTAAAAAAAAAAAACGATAACTTAAAAGATTAAACTACCGAGTACCTATACCTGTGATATTACGCGAGGAAAATTACTTTTGACAAATGCCGAAACAGAAATAGAATTTATAATGCCTTCTACTCTACTATAGGAAAGATGATATACATAGTTGTTCTTCGACATAGGACATAATATGTATTTTCGTAATTTAAAATAGATATCAGTGATATATTCTATATGGATGATGCGTGAATGGTGGATGCGTGAGATCATAATTGATGAATATATGAAAAATATATTGAACGTAACGTTACTTTTCGTCGATACAAAATTCGTTTGCGTTTGGACAAGTGTGGGCAGGTGGCAGCACTAGTATCACAATTTCGAACTTTCAACTTTCTATACCCCATATAAGGAGTATCGAAATACTTAATTTAATTTAGATATTTAGATATTTAATTGAATCATTATTTCATTAAAATGTTTACTTAATTTCTGACTTAAAGATTGTACTTGCGATAGGATTTATTATTATATATAATTCATATTTTGTATAATTAATGGATTATTTATCAGTTTGAAATAAAATTATTATCAAACTAAGAATAATTGAATATACTATTTAATCATTTTTCGTATCATAAATCGCATAAATTTCTCCTTACACAATGATAAAAAATTTGATATGGAAAAATATCAACTTCGATTTATTATTCTTCTTCAAAAATTTGATGATGACGCAATAGTAGTTGTAATATCATTTATATCTTGATACGCTCAGGAAACTTTTAAATATCACTTTAGAATGATAAAAACTTTCAAAAATTAAGTATATGATATTTTAATGCAGTTCAGTGTTTTCATAATCTTCAATTGGAATGACGTATACTTTTTTACTTAAAAACAAATTAAATCTTAAATCGATTGTTTTAAGTTGGGTTTTAACTATAATTAATATTTAATGTTTTCGTTAGAACGCTCGTTCCTTATCTGAAATATGGAAAAAAAACACGATAACCAACATGTCATCAATTGAAGACAGATTGTTCATTTATTTTTATTTCTCGCATTATTTTTACAGGATGAAACAAGCGCAACTAGGTTTAATTATCTGCCCTCCCAACTTTCGTTGGATGACGTTCTATTGTAGAATAATATAAAACAAGATATTCATGCGAGACATTTAATTATAACAGATAATGAGATCCACCCAAAATCCAAATTCACAATGTTCTGTCCCATTTTTTTAGTTAGGATACGAAAGGAAACGAAAATACGATACATCCACTTCATTTATTTATATAGTTGTTATAGTTGAATATCGATTAAAAATTTTATAATGTAAAAGACTTTGTGGTTTCTGCAATCATTGCATTCCCAGTCGCCGTATACCGTATAATCTCTATCCTGAATATAAAGCAATTTCAAACGAAATTTTGACCCAAATCTCTTTAACGAAATGTACGAAATAAATTGAATTTCGATTCGATGCGACTAACCTGGGTTGTTCGTTTACCGAACATCGAAACAATGTGTTTTGATATTGATGCGTACGCTTATTAACTCGTGCCCCCTACGCATTTAAATATAAACTGCCCATCATTCGTTTTCCATACAAATTACATGAATCTCAAACACTTTTGAGAATAATATTTGAACAATTTCATTTTATGGTGGAACAGAATAAAATTGCAAGCAACTTTTTATCATTCATGTCGTTATTCCCTTTATCATTGAATATCCGAACAATAGAATTTATATCGTGTCTGAATACCATTCTTTCGTTTCTTTTTTCTCGTTCAACTTTTGATATTTAAAAAAAAACAAACAACGAAACAAAAAGAGAAATCATAAATACAAAATCACGGTACGTTTGAACACAAAGAATTATTTTTCTTGTTATATACACGCAGTAGTTGGACGATGAATCTATTTGAATCAATTACTTTGATTTCGCTTATCGATCATTGCTTAACAAAATTATATTTAATTCGTAATTTGAAATTATTTCAATTATTTTTCGTTTAAAATCTAAGCGTTAAAATATTAAGTAAGTAGAATAGGTAACCGGTGTAGAACGTCATCCGCGTAAACATGCAAGGGTTACCAGCAACTAGTGGCGTTTGTTGAAACCCAACCCTCGGTGAACCCTCCTTTCCCTCCCATTCACTCCCTTCCTGAATAGACACAGGTCCCCTCTCGATCTCCACGTACCAACCCCTCTCTCCTAGCCGTTTCTCTCACCCTCGCCCGTCCACCGTTCCCCTCTTCCCGCTCTCTGTCTCTTTCCCCCTTCGACACGCGCGGCTTTCTCTCGCGCGCGCGTTCTTCTGCCTCTGGAGCAACTCGCAGCATCCATCGGCCCGCTCCGGACTTCAGTCCATGTCGAGAACGCGCCACCGCCGGGACCCTAAGGACCCTTCGACATTCACGAATCCTTAGATCTTGCGAGCCAGTGGTATCGAGGCAAGCTATATTTTCAAGCTGTTTTCATTCGAAAGCCACGGCCAAAGTTTTTGCGTCAAATCGTCGATCGATCTTCTCGGCGCAATCTTCTCAAATAAAACAGACACATTTATCTGTCGAGCAACCGATATTCTCCATGATACCAGAAATTTGAATCTCCTCGCTCTCGAATCTATCTTATGCTCAACCAAAGCTCGACAAACGAACAAATTCTCGACGACAAATTCTTTCGATAAGCATCTTTTAAACCGTCGAGATCCACTTACGTGCGTGACAAAATCAGAAGCGCGGCCTCTGCTGATTCTTTCGGACCAATTCATTTTTCTCGCTTCGATCGAAAAAAAAAATATCCGTGCCGCGAAGAATAAAGGATCGGCTCGTCTCGTTGGACGTTTTAAGAGAATCGAATCGATTCGAGATTCGGCATTCGATGCGGATAGAAGTAAGGCGTCCAAAGCGTGATCTTTGAAGAAGCGGCAGGTGGAAGAGAAGAGGAGCCACGAGGGCCCGCGAGGAGACTGAAGAAGAGCGATTTCCCGCAAGACTGCCGGGGGTTGTTGCCCAGCCCCGGAGAAGCGGACATCAGGCCCGGATGTTCGCAAGAACGAGACGCCGAAAACGCTGCCATGCTGCAAGGGAAACTATTTACGGCCATCGACAAGTTCCTTACGACATCCCCTTTGGTTAACAAAATCAAGTTACTGATTGTAAGTATATTTTTCTTCTGTCTCTTCTCTCTCCTTCTCGCCTCCGCTCTCTCCTCTTCTTCATCAGGCCCGTTTCTCTTCAACCTTATTGAGAAAAGTTGAGATCGTTGTATCTGATTTGAATTTCGAGCCGTTTATAAGATTTCTTCATCTATCCTTGAAACGATATTTTGCATATCGGACCTCCATGAATTTCTCGATCATTTTAATGGAAAAATGCATTAAAAATAGTATATATATATTTGCGGATTATTTATTTCGATAGAAACACGGAGGGAAGGTAAAATTCTCGGAAGGGATTGGAATTTTTTGAAAATATTTTTTGAATATAATATACTTCGTTCCATTACTTAATTATTGGAGTAAAAATGCGCAACGGATATGTTTCGTTATGAAAAAAATACGATAGATAGATGGTGCTGGGAATAGCGGTGGTGGAATGTTAAAAATTCGAGCAATAATCCGTATATTTTACAACGTAATCTTTCCGTAGTTTAATGGATTGGAGAAAGAATCATTTTGTTTACAGGTGGAGAGAATTTAGTGTCAGGGAAATGACTCGTAGAAACTTCGAATTTGTTCTTCCGAGCCATGAATACGTCCAGGGTGGCGACTTTAATTGCACACAATTATCTAGCTTCACGCTTATTTGGCGTCTTTTTGTGCCATTCTAACTTTTTGCTTCATTTTCATTTTCTTTTCCCGCTAACTTCTCGGGCCTCGGGGTAATCTTCGATTGTGGAAACTTTTGCATTAAAGAATCTCGTATTATCAGGGCTTAGGTGAGTGAATTATTACGTCTCTCGTATGTAATGCATTCCCACGAGAATGCATTTTCCACACAAAAGAAATGATATCCCCATCACGACCCTCCGAGAGAATCTGTAGAAGATCTTTAGTAAAAATAACTCGGTTTACTGCTCGATTTAGGGGAATGGAATTTGATATTCTGCCAAACACGTAATTTCACGTATGCGTCTTAGAATGGAGCAATGGAATGATAACGGACAGACAGTTAATGCAAATCGATGATGCTCGTATCAATGATAGCCCTTATACACGAGCATCCCTTACATCGCGTCAAATTATATATATGAAGATGCGTATCACTTGTTTGCTTAGAATAGAATAATCGAAACTCAAACAGTTTCGAGTTTCCCTTGTTTTACTTGTTGCTCGGCGTACGTTTCCGATACGGTGTCCTATCCTAAATGTTTATTATTGGTTCCAAGTGAATTCCGTATTCCCTTGTCACTGGTAAATTTCACGGAATTCTCTGTCGGAATTCTCTGTATGTAACAACGACTACAAGTGGGATGATCAAAGGCGCGCGAGTCATCGCGGTTCTCTGTCGTGCTCACGATGCAAGATCATACAGATTCAAGAATTTGTGCTCGTCGTGCATATCCCGAATTTCAATTGTAATTTAACAAATTTAATCAGGGAAAGGAAAAGTTTCATAGATTATTTCCAGAGCGAGTGAGATAGTCGATAAATAATGCAAAAATTCTTCCATCACGAATTTCCAAATACTATTCGATCATATTCATCGATTTCGAAAAGATCGAAGCTGCATTCGTACGAACGATTCGCGTCAAGGAATTAAATTTTCGTGCACAACCTTTTGATACTTTTTGCTCCTATTTACAAGTAACAATTCTCGATGGAACACTCGAGCTTGTTCGGTTGAGTACCATTTGGGAACATTTCGGCATTGTCCTCTGTCGGAATAGAACTCGTAGAGGTTGCCGCGTTTCTCCGCCATTCTCCACATGCCATTATCATCGACGAGTGTTCGAAATTCCGGGCAGACATGGTGTCATGTGGGGAGACAAATGCTCAGATCGTAGGCAGATACGGGACGCCGGCGGAAAGAATGCATAGGTGGGCATCTTCTGATTTCGAACGGGCCCTTTGAATAGCTACGTTTGTTGAAAAGTGGAAGGTCCATCGTACGCTTTCATCCGTAAAGTTCTCCGCTTTATCAGTTTACGCGAGCCACACAGTGATACGGGTCAGCCTGTCGGGCTTCCTGAACGAGATTAGCATTGTGTTGTTTCACTTGAAGCGCCGTTGCGATTTTATTAACCCGAGTTTGATACTTCGTATCCAACGCTTTGTCTCGCTTTCTTTTTTTTTTATTTTTTTTTTTTTTATAGTACGATGCACGATATTAGATTAGCATTAGATTACCATTCCGTCTTTTTGTTTGTCTTATGTGTTGAGTTTAAACTCGGAGGACACGTGTTACGTTTACGGATAGATGGAGAGGAATGATCTCCCCTCTTTAAAATTACCAAAGTTTGACTTTGCTCGAGTAGAAACTACCCTCGAGCGTGTTTTAAACATTTCATCGAGTACTTTAGTTCTATGGTTCGATGTCACGTTCTTCTCTCCGCTTCTTCCAGAAATTGTGAACAATTCTCTCGGTTAAGATAATTTGTTGATCTATCTTTTATACATCCAGATCAAAGATATCTAACAATTTTCTACTAAAAAAGATTACTACTAAAAGATCAATCAAGATATCACGAAATATATATTTAAATTCTCTATATAGTAACGACATATTCGATCGACATTTTAAGCGAATTTTCACATAATATCACGCCATTTGGAAATCGTATCGCGCTACGACACGCATACGATCAATTATCAATCAACAAGCGGGTATGGTTGAAATGCAAATCGTATTCCAGCCAGAATGAAATTTTGTCAAACGTCTCTCCAAATATCCATCGAAAATCTCAGCAGGATTTTCCCGCGCGTTGAAATCCCTGGAAGGTCCAGTGTTCCGTGTGCCACGCTCGTCGAATCAGTTTCCATCAATTATTCGGTTAACCGATCTGCGAATTACGACATTATAGGTCCAGGCCAGTCGTTAAATTTTAATATCGCTTTCGAATACCGCGGGAAACGGTTTATTTTCATCTTTTTCCCCATTCCGTCCAACATTTATCCGGCCAGTGTGAATTATAATTGATCAAGGAAGGGGAGCAACGTTAACGAGAAATGTAAATGTTTGTTTCTCGGTTCGATTCGGTATCGATCGACTATTAAGATTATCGGTCGATAATGTTTAATGCCACGCATTAGCCACGTGTAATTGGACATCGGTACGCGTAGAAAGGAGTAGTCGATCCTGTCCGAGCATTGTGCGCAAAAACCGGGTTAGATCCACCGCCATCGTTTCGACGATGACATCGTTCCGCAGTCACCGCAAAGCGCGCACGTTTACTTTGAAAATGTTAATGAGCCAGGGAAGTAACCGAACCGTTAGTTCATAATTATATGACCGTAGTCTTTGAACTGCTCAAGGGGAGCCAACTTATTAACGCCACCGGATCTTCATCCTCCTCAAATTAATGAAATGTGTATTTAGGAATTTGGGAGGAAAAATATCTTTCGCGATTTGTGCGAGGAGTGTGATATGCGGGTTGGAGATTCTTTCTCTACCGGGTTTCAAAATGGAAAAGGGGAAAAATCAGTCGAGCGCGTTTTCTGAAAAAAAAAAGATATTCAAAAAATATATATATGTATCGTAGTATATACACGGTTTTATCTTTTGGTTATTATCGTGATTCCTGGAAATCATATATCATTTTCTCTTTGACAGCACACTTGAATGTTCTTTCATTCATTTGCGATGTGTTTTACTATGTTTTAACCGCTTCTTTTTATACTGACACGGAGAAAAGGGAGGGACGCGCTCGCGAGAAGATAGGAAATGAAAAAGCAGTGTGGAAGGTCGAATCTAGTTAGGCAGGTCTCATTTTTTACGATAATTTGTAAGGAAAAAAATATATATATATAAAATGAACGTTTTGTTGTTTTAATTCGTTCGTTTCCCATATATATATATATATATATATCTATATTTCATTTCTATGGTGAAAAGAGGAATTTCTAGTGGTCTATTCCAATACATCCAACTCGATTTAATTCGTGACGTAAAAGGAGTGTTTCGTGGTATAATTATGCAAAAATATTTTTTCCTATGTCGAATGAATTAATATATTTTCTGAGAATAATTTTTCACAGATTACATTATAAATTACAATATGTACAATTTACGATGGCGTTAATTTTTCTCTTCTCCTCCCGAATAAAGCTAGATACGTAATACTATTCTTTCCATTATTCCACTTCCATTCTTTCCATTTATCATTCCCTATTGCGTCCCGTAACGAATAATCAAAAGCAAGAAAGAATGGCATTGGTGAAATGTGTAAGAGAATAACATCTTCGATGTTTCTTCCACCGTAGACATCACATATCTCGAATTCTTTTTCCTTCTCTGGCGTGTTATCTCTGTACTGTTTTTTATCGACAATCAAAACACTGATAATAGATGTTTCGATTAGAGCGAACACGTTTAATAACAAACCCCTCGTAAAAAATGTTTCATTCGATCGAGTTAGAGGCGCTAACAATGATCCACGATATATTTATATTCTTGGAAACGATAAAAACGAGATAAAACTCGACGTGATGTAACGTTTACGAGGACGAAGCGTTTAATTGATATCGACTCATAAATTTCATGGATTCTCATAACCTGCCGAGTTACCTCTTCATGCCGCGAAATACAAAAGCTTTCGTTCCACGCGTAAATTTCATTCTTCGCAGTTCCCGCCGATCGCTTTGTTTTTTCGCGTTTTTCCTAGCCAGATTTCGCGATCCTTGTTCCATTGGATTTAGATCCAATTCGAGTCAACAAAGATACCAGCGGTTCTGGATTTATTCGAGAACGGTAAACCGCGACGAAAATCCACGGATCGATCGAATCCCCTCGATACTAGGGAACTCGATATCGATATTCGCCATCGTGTTCCGCCAAAAACTCTACTTTCCTCTAAATATTTCGACTGTTCGAGCGCTCGATGTAACTTCTTGCCCGCGAGCTTCCCCTTTCCCCGCGAAATTCAATTTTTCCATTTCGAAGATCCTTCCTTCTCGAGATGAAAAATTCTTTCGTTTCGCTTATCATCGAACGTATA